ACCGGGAGCGGGGCGCCGGGTCAGTCCCATGTCTTCTCCCTTGTTTTGAAGTCAGGGGATAATCCAGGTTTACGTGGAGGTCTCCCGTGGCCGTGTTGCTTCCCTCCCACGCGAGAAGGCGGCGTGGGTCTGAGAAGGGTGGAGGAAACGTGGGACTGTGCGTACACCGTCTGGGGTGGAAAGGGGGTGGCGGAGGAACCGGCAGCTTTCCGTGGCTGGTGACAGGTCGTGGGGTTCGGCCCGGCAACCGCCAACGCTGCGGTTCCTCTTCCCCTTCCCACGCGGAAAACTCCTTGAGAAGAAGCAGGAAGGGCTTGGACAGACTTCGGGATCCTTCCTCTTTCCTTATTTTAATTTTAAGTCATTTGCACTGGAAAAGATGAGACTGGGGCAGAGAGATTTCCACACACCCCCCCCTTTTTTTTTTCCTTGATTCCTGATAAGAAAACAGGATGCATACATCTGCTTGTAGTCATTTTTTTTTTATTCTTTTATAATTATTGCAGTATGAGTTCTGACCATGTGTGTTAAACTACTGGTTTTACTCTGTCTGAATTATTTTCTTTAGCAGAATTGTTTAGTTGAAGTATTTGTAACGCTTTTCATCCTAGCACGTCCTATGGTGCTTCTTAGACAATAAACTTAGGATGCATCAGCACTGTAACTAATGTTAAATCCAGCAGTTACACCTGTGTAGGAAATGAGTAACCAGTACTCTACCCGTCAGTGTATGAAGCTGGAGAAGGTGTAGTTGTCTGTGCGGAAAATGTTTTGTACAGGTAGAACTTGAGTAACATCTAATGCGATCGGCCCGTTCGAGTGCATGAAACATGAGCTGGTCTCCTCAGGTTTCTAATCATTAGAATTGCGTTTACTAGTTTGCAGTAGTTGACATAGCAAGCATCTGATCTATTATCATTCTTCCCTGAAAAGGAGAACTGCTGGTTGCGAATCTGTAAAAAATACAATGTGAAATCTCAAAAGGTTCTTTTATGCATAAAAGAAGTAGAGGTTTGAGGCAGTCCTTAAATTGTGGCAACTTACCTACATTGACATAAAAAAAAAAAAGGATGAATATTTTAAAATTAAATCTGTGAGGTAGAGAAAGGAAGTTTTATGCAGTCGATCACCAAAATAATGTCTTTTTCCCAACCAGATTTTTAAAATTTTGTGTCATTTTCTTTAAAAATGTAATTATAAAAGTAATTGATCAGATAAGTTTTTGTGCCTTACACAAAAGGATACACAGATTCTTCTGTGAAAATATGTTTCATGTTGGACCATTCAACATTTAGAATGGTTTACTTTTAAATTGTTATTTCTTATTATTATAATTCAGTGAAAGTTGACCTGGTCAGGACCCTACATTACATTGTCCTGTTTTTTGTTTTCCATATCTTTAATTCATATCCTGATATCTTTGTTTTATTGCAGGAGACACCAACAAATGGAACACAAATTAACTTAAGCCTACACGAGGCTGGTGACACCTGAAAGAAGGTAGGCAAAATTGATAGGTAAAGATGTATTCAGAACTAACTTAATGTTAACAGCAATGATAGCAGTTGAGCACACTTAGGTATGATGTGGAAGAACATGCTCATCTGGATGCCAAAAATGAACTAACGCTTGTCAATAACTTTGAAAATACAGAAGAATGTGTTTAAATGTGGCCTTGAACTGGGGACTTGTGTTTTTGTAGGTCAGCTAATGCTTTGTTTAGTAGCTATTGGGGGGAAAAAAAGGAGATACTCTTATTGAAAATGTAGCATTATAAATTATTTCTGATTGTAATCTGCAATAATAATAATGTGACTGACTCATTGCCCTCTTTCCAACTGAATCCGAAGTTCTGTCTTCACAAGTTCGTTGCAAATTGAGACTCTAGAGGTTTGTCATTTACAATCCCAGAAAAGAGCATGACCAATGACTACTAGTGAGTGTTTTTATTATTTCAATGCAAAATAGTGAAATGGATTAAGACTTTTATGCAGCATAGGAAACTAGAACTTTGGAAGAACTATGAAATACTGCTTTCTATGAGGCTTCTTTCCATGTTTGCTAATTGGCAACATTCAGTTGATTTCCCAGCATTACAGTTGCCATAACTGACTTACCTAGCTCTGGGATTTTTTTGGAGCCACATACTCTTTCAGTGAGATACATGAAGGAGTGAATGCCGTCTTTGAAAAGTTCTTGCTGAAAGTGTAATTGTTTTATTAAGCTTATAGCAGTAGAGCGTTAGAACCTGTCTTTCAAAACATATATTTTTTTTCAAGTTTCTTTCTTAAAACTCATGGGGGTTGAGAAGAGTAATGGACTTGCATTTCCTTTTTCTCCTTCTAGGGAAAGTGGAGAAGCTGTGCTCTGTGCTTTCTATCTGACCCATTGGGAGTACGTTTTGGAGGATGTTTGCTACTTAGCAGGAAACTAAAATTCAGGTATGATCCAATTAGAGAAAAAAAAAAAAAGCAAGTTGATTTTCATTATTTCATCATTTTATCCTATTTGATATTGTCCTTAGGTTACTGTTGCTGAAAACAGTTTCCCCAGTAATATGTATTTGGTGATTTTTAATGAGTTCAAAATTCTGAAAATAATATTCTTATGGTTGTCAATTTGTGCATTGAGTCATGCTGTATGATGAAATTAATCCTTCACTTAAAAAACCCTTGTTTTTATGAATGCATTCGTATTCAATGACACCTGTGTTTTGAAAACATTTTTCCTTCTAGGCACAAGAGGTTGTAAACATAAAGAGCGAATATGGGTGAAAAGAAGCCAGAACCTTTGGACTTTGTAAAAGATTTTCAGGAATATCTTACACAGCAGACTCACCATGTAAATATGATTTCTGGATCGGTTAGTGGAGACAAGGAAGCAGAGACTCTTCAGGGAGGTAAGCTAATTTCAGTGCTATCGAATTTTACTTTTTTGAGAATAACTGCACTGTTTACATTCCAGGTAATCATGCAGACTACTACAATTGTATGGCAGCATTTCTGATGGTCATTTTCATATCACAAAAGATATGTATGTACCTTTATTTTAATCAGGGTATGTTTTTATAGTTCTATATATTTAAAGACTGAGGGCACAGAGAAGCAAAAGATACTTGGCATATTCTGACAACATGATAGCTATTATTCTACTGATTCTTGATTGAAATCTATGTTGCATTATTCACAGCTGGGACAGAAGGTGATCAGAATGGTCTGGATCATCCTTCTGTTGAAGTTTCACTGGATGAAAACTCAGGAATGTTAGTGGATGGGTTTGAAAGGACGTTTGATGGAAAGTTAAAGTGTCGATACTGCAACTATGCCAGCAAAGGAACAGCACGGCTCATAGAACATATCAGAATTCATACAGGTATGAAATATTCTGCAGTACTTTGCTGTGAGCCATTGTGGTATTAACTCAATGTTATGATTTGGTTGTAAGGAGTTAGCATCTTCAAGCGGTGTGGTAGTTCTTAGAGTTGCTACACACTTAGAACTGTGTTTTGGGTTTTTTTAATAGACTATTTTTGTAAAGGTGTGCCGTGTACATTATGCAAATTCCTACTTACATTTATTATTGCAGATTACTGAATTTGAAGTAACTATATATGGGAGTAAAGTTTAGCATGAAAGCATCAGTGTAAATTGAAGGGCCCTGAATGTAACTTTTAGTTTTTCCTTCCTAATCAGAAAAGTGAAAAACATACATGCTGCCACATGGAGATTTACAGGGGCTTTTCTTCCTATGTGGTTTAGCTATGAAAATATTCCTGTTGTGTACAACCTTCTAGATGTGGACGTACAAAACATAGTAATAAGAATAAAGTTTTCTTGTTGGTAGAATATTCAAATGTGAGGGTGTATCATCAGTAAGTGATTAATAACAGTAATGAAAAGAAAAAATCCTTACTATGGCTTGTTTAAGAGCGTTTGCCACTGTTGGGTTTATAAAGCTGAAAAGCAAAACTCAATAAAAATTAGAACATCCTAAACTGTTCAAGTCAGCTCCAACTTCTCGGCAAATGAGAGAAAACAAATGAAAGTTCCTTGTGAAGTCTGATTTTGGTGCCTGCCAAATATATTACACCGGTACAGAAGATCGGTGTTACGGCTGTTAAGGAAAAAAAAAAAGCACAAGCCTATTATTGCTCTAGTTTTCTCTAAAGAATAGAAGTTTTTACAGGTTTCCAGTCTGGTATGGACTGTCCTAAAACTTCCAAGTGTATAATTGCAGTGGTGTTGGGTAGGTGGCATTCTGGGGCTCACTCTGAAGGAAATGCATTGTTGTAACTTGGATGTAATTGTAGCTCTCTTTAGGTACGGTTATTGTTAGTCAGATTCTCACTTTGCTGTGAACCATTGCTTCCACTAACTGCTAGGATGTATTTTGGGGAAGTCAGTGCTACTTACGCAGGCCCTGCGTTTCGACAAGGTGTAACGGGATAGAAAATGGCAACCGACGAGAAGTCAAAGAGTTCTGAGGTTCAGACTCTGAAGATCTTGTAAATTCTTCTCTTGTGCTACCATGAGCTACCTCTGTGTGAAGCTGTTGTGGTTTTCGGATTCCCAGTGGAAATTTTGTGTAGTTCCAATAGTGGATAAAATACTGTGGCTTGTGTACCTGCATTTGACACAGCGTTAATGCCGTGGCTTGCTGTAGATCTGCCAAGCAGCAGTGTGTTTTGGAGCAATTTTTTTCTTCATGTGTCTAGTTTTTCATAAAGCAGTTACAGCTTCACCTGCCACTTGCCTCATATGGTATGCAGACAACGGGAGATATTTTTCTCTTCACAGCTTTACTCTGTGCAGTGCTATTTCTGAGCTTGTGAAACGAGGGTCATGTAGTGGGAGAAACTGTACTGCAGACTTAGGCAATTCACTTTTAAATGTTACTTAAGGATGCAGAAGTAACATCCACTTGAAAATTTCATGTCTTTCCAGTAGCATATCGCTATTGCCATCTAAAAACTTGCATCCCCAAGCCCACAGTTACTATTGCCCAGTTGTCAGCATGAGCAGATGGACTGCTAGAGCTGTGATGGGCGATATAGATTGCTACTAAAAGATGTTGGTATTCTGTGTTTGCTAATTCTTGAGATGTTTTTGATGGCTTTGGTGTGCATGGGGTTTCTGAAACAGAATGACTGAAATACTGTGTTGTTGCTTAGCATGAAATGTCATAAAATGTAGCTGTACTAGAGAGCAAAAAATAAAATCTTCCTTCTTTTAAGTATCAAAAGGTGGGTATTGGTATAGTGTCAGCATTCCTCCTCTTACTCTAGGAAGTTGCCTACCTTTTTCTATACTCTCAGATCTTAGGTTAACAGTTCTTTTTTGTTTTCAGAATGCTTTCTTACCCTGCTGCTACTTCAAGGAGTAGAGGTCACTAAGTGGCTAGAGGTAGCAGAACAATACCTGCTGCCGATCATGACCATTTCAGTATGGTTGCAGCATAATATATACAAAAGCAAGACAGGTGCCAACCAAGAATTGGGATGCTCAGAAATGTCCTTAGAAATCTCTGACCCGATGGTCGTTATTCAGAAGCAAACATGCTGTGAGCTACACAAATTCAGGTTTTAGGGCAAAGCGTAATACTTGGGGTTTGTGCCTCAACTAACGTTTTGAGTTGTTTCTCATGGTTGTAGTATATGATATTGTTAGCATTATACCAGAAGAACGGAGCTTTACACGTGGGATAACTACTGTCTTAGTGCTGCTGCAGGTATTTCCATTATCAGAGGGCATATGTGTGACTGATCAAAGAAACTTTCACAAAGGTGCTAGGAAAAGGTAGCCAAATTGAAGGCACACATCACTCTACTGCAAAATCATGCAGTCTGAATTATTTCTGTTTCAGAAAGCTGGGTAGCAGTGAGAGAGGGATATGGGGGCAGGGGGTCAGCCTACGGTCTCTCAAAGAGCTTCAGCAGTTTAGAACACACCTTCACACACTGAACGCTTTATAGCCAAATTATTGGTTCAAATATGTCTGATGCCTAATGAAATACCAGTAACTGTACAATGATAACTGTTCATTTCCCTATACTGTTTCAGCTTTATAACATAGATGAGAATCTTGGGCTGCCAGAGGCCTTTTTGTTACTCTGTATAGTTTGCCCTTTGCCTTCTTACAATACATTTCGTATCCTTAATTTCAATACAGCATTGCATGGTGTCCTGATGGTACCACCATTTTACCTTTACCTTAATGGCTTTTCAGAAAGCCCTGCTTCGTTTCTTTGTACAGAGACAGAGGACTCTGGAACAAGGCAGGTTTGGGGTTGGTTTTTTTTTGTTCTTGGTTTTGATTTGGTTTTGTTTTTTCACTCGCGGGCAAGGAGCTCCAAGACATGAGTGTTGTTTTGCTCGGAAGCATGGCAGAAGGCCAAGAGATGGATTGCATGGACTGCGAAGGCTCAGAGTGACTGAATCGGCATTAAAATAGGGAAGCGATAGGTGACTAGTAGCCTTAGAACAATGTAAGTAAACAAATAATGCATCCTGGATAACATGTAAGTGCAGGAAGGTATGTGCCAAAGTAATTATGACCCAGGCATGATCACACAGCCATTATTAAGTGCAACTTACTGCAGAATTAACTTCATGCTGAGTCTGACAGCAGTATAATTAGTTCACCAGCTGTGTTGTGTTAAGGGCGTGCAACATGCAATGCAGATCTTTGCGTAACCAGTTTAGAATTAAATAAGACTATTCAGATTGGCAAGTTTTTTGTGAATGCAGGGAGATTTTCTGCCTTCTTACATTGTTGTTTGTATCAGATCTCCAGATCTTTACACACGTGAGTGTGTGTGTATATATGAATACATATATACAGTTATGGAGAAATCATGGTTTCAGTTGGTGCAAATAAGGTACTTAGAGGTAGCACAAAAATTGCTTTCTTTCCTGTTGAAGAGGCAGTGATGTAGGTGGGGGGAAAAAAAAAAAAAGCTTCTATTCATCATCCTAGGTTGTGATTCCAAACTGTGGGATGCTCGCCATGGGAAAGGCTTTCTCTATTGGTTACATGCCATCTTACGGGGCCTGTACAGTGCTTGCAGTGTAATGGTGGCCCTCTCTGTATTCAGATTGCTGGCTTTTACAGTTCTTCTAGATGGATTTTGAAAGCCACAAAACAGGTGTATTGATCTATATTTAAAGTAGCAGAAAATGCTTCAAAAGAACGTAAAAGCTGAAGAGAAGGAGCCCAGTAATGTTTTGGTTTTTTGTTTTTGGTGTTTGGGTTTTTTTTTTTTTGAGTTTGTCATGCTGTTTGGCAAGAGAATTGGTTGCACAACAATGATTTAGAAATTGTCCTGGCATTGTAGATAGGAAGATAAGATGATGTTTCATTTCAGCACCTGAACATGCACCAAATCCTTTAGGCATTTCTAATGTTGCAGACCTGGATCTAAAAAACTCCTAGAAGATCAGTCAATGAAAGGAAAATCAAAAGTCCCAAAGTATTATGTTACAAAGGTGTTGGCCTCTAACTATGTTTGAAAGTTTTCTAAGTACTTTTAAAAGTGTTAATGTGAGTATCCCTAAATATTATTTAAAAGAAGAACAGAGTTCTGCCTATCAGAAAGGAGAATACCTGGCTGTCATGTCTGGGAGAGAACACAGCTGTCCAGGGGTTAGCTGGCTTTTGTTTTCTTTAATAAGCCACAGGATCCTTTTTCAACATTCAGTTCTTGAATGGATGTGTGTGTACATGGGTTAGCTAGCTGATAGTTCTAGGATGTTTAAAAGTAGGAATGTTTGGAAGATACTGAAAGGATACCCTTCATTAATGTTCAAACACAGTTATCATTAAGAATGATTACATTTTGGTGGTACAGACATTCCTATAGCCAACTGCTTATGTGCTTTATAGGTGAGGTAGAGTTTGGATCCAGTCAAGAGCATCACACAAACATCGTTGCATTCAGTCCTTGGCATCATTGCTGCAATTCCTAGTCAGGTTATCTGTTATGCTAATTCTGACCACTTTTTTTCTTATGTTTTTTATCACTTGGGTGAGGCGGAGGTGTCTAAATTTACTCCGCTATTCCAGCAGATACCTGGCTAAACTCCAGACTAGCGGTGACTCTGAAGCTGAATTTGTTTGATTGGCAACTCCCAGTTAGCTACTTTCTGTTCCATGAAAAGCCTTTTTCAAGCACTCTGAGATGCTATAGTATAATCTATTTTAATTTTCCAGGTGAGAAGCCACACAGATGCCATTTGTGTCCCTTTGCATCAGCTTACGAACGTCATCTGGAAGCTCACATGCGATCGCATACTGGTGAAAAACCGTACAAATGTGAATTGTGTTCCTTTCGCTGCAGTGACAGAAGCAACTTATCTCATCACCGCAGACGCAAACATAAAATGGTGCCTATCAAGGGTACCAGGTCTTCCCTAAGCAGCAAGAAAATGTGGGGGGTTTTGCAGAAGAAGACCAGCAATTTGGGGTACAGCAGAAGAGCATTAATTAATTTGAGTCCACCTTCCATGGTGGTTCAGAAACCAGACTACCTTAATGATTTCACTCATGAAATCCCAAATATCCAGACTGAAGCGTATGAGAGCATGACAAAACCAACCCAGAGCAGTGGGTTGCCAAGAGATCCACAGGACCTTATGGTAGATAATCCTTTAAACCAGCTCTCTACGTTAGCCGGACAGTTATCTAGCTTGCCACCTGAAAACCAAAATCCAGCCTCTCCTGATGTTGTTTCCTGTCAAGACGAAAAGCCTTTCATGATACAGCAGCCTGCTGCACCTGCAGTAGTTTCAGCTGTGTCAGCAAATATTCCTCAGAGTTCATCTCCAACCAGCCCAGATCCTCGATCTACACACAATCAAAGGAACTATAGTCCCGTGGCAGGTCCCAGCAGTGATCGCAGTGCCCACACCAGTACTCCCAGCATAAGTAACAGTCAACCAAGTACTCCAGCTCCAACCCTTCCGGTTCAGGACCCTCAGCTTCTGCATCACTGCCAACACTGTGACATGTATTTTGCGGACAATATACTTTATACTATTCATATGGGATGTCATGGATTTGAAAATCCTTTTCAGTGCAACATATGTGGGTGTAAGTGTAAAAATAAGTATGACTTTGCTTGCCATTTTGCAAGAGGCCAACATAGTCAACATTGACTGAGAACATGCTTTCATTTAGTTTTTTAACATATTACAGTATATTTTTCATACTTGCTGAACGAAAGCTTGCACATTCCCATAAGGAATCTTCACATCAGTTGATTTGACAAAGGAGGCAAATTTATTTCAATGATGTCATAAAACTTGCCAGGGAAATTTTGTATAAGATGTGATTGTTATTTTATGTGTAGCCTTTCAAAAAAGCTGAGTGTGTGCTGTAAGAATTGGAATGCATTGACATGCTTTGGTTGCTAAATTTAAGTTGCTTGCACTTAATCCCAAGAAACATTCTACAAATGTAGAAACAGGGCGTGTGTCCTGAAACATAGGATGCAATTATCAGGCTGTTTACTAGGCAAGACAAAATATATTAACCATAAAATAGGAAAGGTTAATGCAATACACGTATGGTTACTTTGGAGACATACTTATCCTTAAAAACTTAGCTACTCCAAACTGGAAAAGCAAACAGAAGCAACTTTCACATACAAATTCAATTTGGTATAAAATTTGCTTTAATCTGATGAAGGTTAATAGAGTTTTTGCTTAGTATAGTCTAAATTCCTCATGCTAGGGCTCAAACACTAATTTAACTATTATTTTTAAAACTCATCACAAAACTAGAAGATAACAGGTTATTGTGAATGAAACTCTCTTAGGAAAAAAAAAAAGAATTGAAAGCTTGTCATTCACTGTTATACAAAAGAAAAAGTAAATGAGACACCTTATTTTAAACTACACTTACCAAAATTTTACATGCCATTCTTTTTAAAAGGAGGTAGTTTTTAAACAGTCATAATAAAAAGCTTGTAGAACTAATATATATTCCATGAGATTTTTAACTGCCTTAAACTAATTTGTACAGATACTTAAAATTTGCACAATTAGTCTTCTGTCTTGCGGATAGAAGTTCTAATAGAGACAGACAAGAGGTTTACAAATTAAAAATAATTTGTTCAGTTTTATCTCGGGCCAAGCTACAACTGATAGGTTGCCTGTATGTTTGAAAGTTGTATAATCTAGTTTACTGTAAACTTCAGCTAACTTGGAAGTCAGTTTGTCTTGTCCCCTCACCTAAATTTGTTGTCCTTCTGGTGTGCTAGAAATAAGGGGAATGGCTTCTGGGTTTTCCGAACTGTTCATGTAGTAGGCAAAGGAATACCGGCTGACTACATTTGAAGTCATTGTGATTAATATTTGTAGGTGGCAAATGGTAACTAAAGATGTACATGACGTCCATTGCACATGTTTATTTTTTTAATACTGTACATCTTTAGAAGCACCTAGGCTAACGGACAGGCACTTTAATATAAACCTTAATAAAACATCCTAGCAAAAATAATAAAAGCTCTTAATGTTTCAAAAAAGTGAAGAACTGTTACTTTTCCCATGTTTAGACATGCACTTTTACCTTAGTTTGTCTTACTTGAGACAAATTAAAGCTTCCCTTATATTTTCCCTTTTTATTATCAGCAAAATATGGCAGCAAACTTTTGTTAAAAGCAGGAAGATTTTATTAATGTTCTGCAAGTACGAGATTGGAATCTGAATAGCAAATGTTTGGTTTGTTCAAATTTACATTATTACGGGAGCAAAAACTTCCTGAAGCCAACAGAAGAACTGAAAATGACTTCAGTGTAAGATCAACATAGGAAAAACCATCCTTTTGAGAATTCTAGCTTTAGAAGTAATTTTGACTTTAATGAATTAAAAATTTGGGATCCAAATATGTTTTTCTCTTCCTAACTTACCTACTGTTGAATTTTCTGTGCTTAAGTAACCCATTGAAGGAACTGGGTTCTTGACTGCACATAGTTGTGTAGTGACGAGGTCAAAAATAGGCCATTGAGGCATTTCCAGTGTAGCGAAGGTGAATGATAACACACTGTCACTCCTAAAAATATTTTTGGTTTCAGGCCTGGTTCAAAATCCATTTCAGTGGATTTGTAAAACAGAATGTAATTTCCATTTTTCATGATGACACTCTTTGTAATTCCAAAATATCTCTTTGTTGCTTTGTACTTTTAAAATTTATTTTATAAGTAAAACCGCAACTCTGTGTGCATAAACACGGAGAGTCCTTTATTTTAAGGACTAAGGTGACTGAACTGGAATCCAGTTGGAAGGTACCGCTCCTGTACAGGTTTTGTAACATGACTCTTCTAGTCAAAGAACAATGTAGAAATAACTCTCTTTTGATCACATATTGACACATTCTAAAATACAAATTTGGCTAAAATACAGTATCAGAACAACAGATGTTGCTGTTGAAGACCATTACAATCAGTAATTTATAGAGGTTATTTTCCTTGCCTTTTGATAGATGACGCAAACTTCTGTTCCTAGGCTCTAGCAACTACAAGGAAACTTCTGAAATGGTGATATGACACTGAGTCATGCCGATCACAACAGCCAAGTTCTCCTTGGTTTGCGGCTCCAGGCTTTCTCCCTCTTGGTATCAGTAGAGGGATTAACTCCCATGTGCACAAATGTTTGAGATTTCATCCTTCCATTCCATTTACACAGTTTCTAATCCATTAGGACTTTGATTGGCAGTGCCTATAAACATGATAGACTTTTTGTGTCGGCTAATGATTTGGCAGTTTAGAAAAATGACTTCTGAACCGTGATGCCCCTGAATGAAATTTTAGATAGGAGAATAGTTAGGTTGCTGATAGAAGTAGCTGGTAGCAAGAGGAAGCCTGCATAAACTTACTGAAACGGGGCCCTCATTTAGGAAGGGGTCCTCTGTTGCGAGGGAATGTATGTTAAAGAACTTGGTATGAAAAAAAAAAAAATCTAACCCCAAACCCTGCAAATTGTTTACAAGTATTTTAACACTGATGACTTAATACCGTTGTTTCTGCTTCAGAGTACCTAAAGAAAAGAAAATTAGCTTGAACATCTATGAACGGTTGAACAATGATAAAAAGATTTTTATTTTTTTTTCCCTTCTTCCCTTGTGCAGGCTCCTATTTGTAGGGAGGGTTCTTAGGCAGCAGCAGGCTTTGGTGTTCATCCCTTGATTCCGGAACCAGGTCTGTGGGCTGGATCCCTGCTGACTCACTAGTTCTTCAGAGGGTCACCCTCTCGACTAGGATTCTTAATTTTTCAGCGTAACACTGTCTGTTCAGTTGTGCCAAACAGTACCCTGACTATCTCTCTTTCCTTCTGTCTACCGAGTAGGTTTGGAAGGTGTATATTCATATTAGTTTTCCATAATTTTGTACATATTATTTACTATAATTTAAAGACCAGAATTAGTACTGGAAAATTGTTTTAGAGTATGATCCTGACCATTCCCTTGCACAAGCAGGCCTTACTCAGAGTCCATAAGGGATGCTTGTCAGGAATTGTGGGATCGAGTCCTCAGTTAATAGGACTTTTCATACGGAGTTCTCCATGTGCTATGCTGCACTAACTTGTTTATTTTTAAACAACCCAAGTCCTTATATTGTAAGGTGGTGACTAGCATATGAACTTGTATTAACAGGGAAGTTTGGGAATGAGCTGAAATTTTTCCATAGCTTGAATCTGTTAAGTTCTGTAGTTGCAAAACATTAACTTTGTGGGGTTTTTGTTTTTATTGTTTTAGATTATTTTATAGATTTGTTGGCATTTTTGACATGCACTATTTATAGTACTCAATACAGACTTAACTATTTTGAGACTGAATATTCCGATGAACATGCAAATATTAGACTGAACATCTTAGTCGATTATCTTGGTTAATACTTAAACCAACTGTGAAGCAGCTAACAGGGAAAAATAGTTGTTTTTTCACTGATACGTGTTTAGGTGAAGAGGATTTTGACATAAAATGTTGATTGGCATTTTAACATAAAACTCAGTGCTGGAAGACGTGTTCCAGTGGCATTTCCTACCAAAATGATCTGTTGCTATTTGTTTTGTTCCAGAATGTTTGGGAGGTTTGCTTGTTTGCTTTTTGTTTCTTTTTGACGAAGGGAATGTAATTTAGAAGTCTTCACTGGCAAGTTTTCTATTAATTTTAAGCTTCTTTGAAAATCTACAGCAAATGGATGTTCTGCTGCAGGAAAATCTATCCCCTGCTGAAGCATTTTTTCATTGAGCAGTTTTTGTGTATGTGCTTCTAAGTACCTGCTTTGTTAATAATATGTATTTCAGTGTAAAGAGCATATTTTATATGCAAAAACGAAGCCTGCTAGAGTTGTAAAATAAATTTTATTGTGTAGTGAATGTTTTCAGATGACAAGGTTAATTCTGAAATAACTCAACCATATCTAGTGTAGTTCATGTTGTGAAGCTTTGCTTTTGTAAGATATGAATAAAATAACACTTTCTAATTAAGTCTCATGTTAATTCTTAATGGCATGTGCTTCAACAGGTAGAAGCAGCCAAGTGCTCACGATGAGCTGTGATCTAGGTATGGTAAGGAAGGTTAACTTACCTTCTGGGTAAGCAAGGAACACTGCATTTATGGTTCGGTCTGTTTAATTTGAAAATACTTAATTTTAGTGCTGAGCTAGGACATGCTTTTCCTTCTTTCCACTGTTACTCTTGCACGTTTGGTCATCTTCCAAATTCTTTGTTTCCTCATATTTCCTTCTTATCAAGAGTGCTTCTGTGTCTGAAATCAGATTTTTTTACCACGGTGAGGTGGCTGTCGCTGTATGTGGAACTTCTATGTGTGTTCGTTTCGGCAACTTTGAAGGTGGAACCAAGTTTCAAGTTCCTTTGGACACTGGAGTTAATCCTACACGTGTGCGTACGTGCACACAACTCTCAAGTTTCTGGTTCTTTGCAGTTTCTGTCAGGGAAACGAGCAGAGAAGCCAAGCGCCGTCCATCTCACTTCTTGTTTTTATACCTTCCCAGGCACATATTCTCTGGAAATGCGCAGCTACCCCTTTGGCAGAGCAGAGCAGGTCACCATCCAAGGTGCTCTTCAAAACCTCAGCAAGAAGGCTGATCCAGCTTGAAGTTAGTCCCGCTGTTGGCAGGAAACAGGACTAGATGACTTCCACATGTTCCTCCCAGGCAAACTTTTTCTACGATTCTGTGAAATTTAAATAAACTCGAAGGATGGTTTGGTCTTGGCTTGATCTTCAAAGTCAAAGACAGTATGCTAGACTGTATTTCTCTTCTATAAGATGGGGAGAGGAGTTAGAGACGGCATGAGCCACCAGAGAAGGAAGCTGTATCTCCGAATCTGTTTTCAGCTGTACTGCTGAGGGAGTACTGCATTTTAAACACTCTGGACTGTTAAAAAACACCGATGTTCTCTATGTTGTTATTTTAAAATATATTTATTAACTACATCAGTTGCCTCACGTTGGAATGAAGAAATTACAGTTGTAGCAGGGTCAGAATATTGATTCTGTATGCAAGTTCGGGTTTTCAAATTATTTCCTTGCCGCAAGTCTTCCAGAAATTCTGCTTTGAGTTTGTTGAGTTCTTCTGCCAGGCTCTTCATCTCACTTGGGAGTACGTTTTGATCTAAAAGAAAATTAAAGCTGAACTTTAACTTCATGGTTGAAGATGAAATTTACAGACTTTGACTCACATTCTACAAATAACTTTGACCAGAATTCTGAAGGCGATTGCCTCAGTCACACCTGCAGAGTTGGGATTCCTTAACAGTTTGCCCCAAGGGCATTTCATAGGTTTAGCTTGCATCGCCTAGACATGCTACACCTACCTTTTGCGTCCTTCATTGTCTGAGAGATGATTCGTCTGCACGTCTGATCAGCCTGATGGACAGCACTAGCTGCACAGATTGCTCTGTCTGCTTCCTGTCCAGGGTGACCAACAGAAAGGAATACATGCAAATACATTAAGTTTGATTTAGGCATCATCAATTTTTGAAGTACGCTTTAAAAACAAGTAACACAGAATCCCAGAATGGTGGGGGTCGGCAGGGCCCTCTGGAGATCACCCAGTCCAACCCCCTGCCAAAGCAGGGGCACCTACAGCGGTTGCACAGGATTACGTCCAGGTGGGGTTTGAATATCTCCAGAGCAGGAGACCCCACAGCCTCTCTGGGCAGCCTGTGCCAGGGCTCGGCCACCCCCAAAGTACAGAAGTTCTTCCTCATGTTCAGGTGGAACTGCCTGAGCTTCAGTTTGTGCCCGGTGCCCCTTAACCTGTCGCTGGGCACCACTGAAAAGAGTCTGGCCCCATCCCCTTGACACCCGCCCTTAAGGTATTGATAAGCCTTGAGATCCCCTCTCGGTCTTCCCTTCTCCAGGCTGAACAGACCCAGGTCCCTCAGCCTTTCCTCATCGGGGAGATGCTCCAGTCCCCTCATCACCTTCGTTGCCCTCCGCTGGGCTCGCTCCAGTAGTTCCTTGTCTGTCTTGAACTGGGGAGCCCAGAACTGGACTCAGCACTCCAGATGTGGCCTCACCAGGGCAGAGTAGAGGGGGGAGAGAACCTCCCTTGACCTGCTGGCCACACTCTTCCTCATGCACCCCAAGGTACCGTTGGCCTTCTTGGCCACGAGGACACATTGTCTCAGGGCACGTGTCCAAAATCTTTTTACTACTCTAGAGCATACAACAGTGTTCTTAAAGGTAGTTCAGTGGTTTAACTTAAGGTGACAGAAGTACCCATTTCACTTAGGACTAACTCTGCTATGTATGCTTTCATAATGAAGGAATGCAATAGCTATTTCTCAGTTTCTGTCTGTTCTGAATACAGTTCAGGACTAACTGACTAACTCATCCACCATCGTCTGAAAGAGCCATGACTGCAAAGACAGGCAATGCTACCTTTTGCTCAGTGTCTTCCTCATTTTGCTTCACTGGATTTTCCAAAGCAGTGGTCAGCAAACTAATTATCTGCTCACTAAGAAAACAAACAAACAAGAGTAAACCACATTAATCAACCAGTTTCACTGAAGATTTTTCTTTCATTTTGTAATGACACCTCATCACAGAAAAAACCCCAAGTTTTCAGTTAAATTTATGAGGCAATCAATGAAATAATCTTCATACAGCAAGTCAGAGGAAAAACAATTACAACTAAAACTACAGGCAATTATTTCCAGTCTTAATGTTTCAGACAATTTACATAAATTTTCCGCAACAGTTTAGAAATGCAGTTAGTTTTGAGGTTAACTCTGCAAAGAACGGTGGCTGTGAGTTCCCAACAACTGACATGTATTGTATGTAACTGACTGGCTTCCAAAAATCACCATACGGAATATTTTTTACATACTGTTTAGATACTCAAAAGCTTCTACCCACCCATTTATGAAAACAGTACTTAGTGAAAACCCCAGCGTCAATCCAATAGCTTACTTATCCTCTGAAGTGCAATCAAAACTTTTCAGAATGAGGCTGTTCTGTTCCCAAACATTTTTCTTGAGATCTGGCATTTCTATTTTTCTTGCCATTAAATATATTGTCTGGTCAGGTAACGGATGACTTCTTAGACGATTTCTCTGCAAGCAGCATTCAAGTGGACACTCTAAAAATAACTGGCAGAAGCTCAAGGCATCTAAAAGAACATAAGCAGATAATTCTACCTTGAAACTGTTCAAGTAAAAATTTTGGAGAGCAACGTGCATGAGAAAGGCTTTACATGAATGAGGAACTCCTACACTAGTTCTGAGCCTGAAAAGAATACAAACCTAAAAAGAATACAAACAATTTTACCTTCAAGGCTGCTGAAGTAGCAATTTCTGAGAGCAACATATATAAGAAAGGCTTTAAGTGACCTAGCAATATCTAAGATTACAGCAATGAAGTGAAGTTGATGCTTACTATACTGCAGGAATCTAGCAATTAAGAATAACAGATACTCCACAAAAGCACTTAAAATAAGGCAGCTGAAGTGCCCTGAGTTTCCTACAAAGCTGAAAACGTTCTTACGCGGAGGAACAAAGAGTAATTACATTTGCGAGCCAGCTGGTACACCTCGTATCTCATGCTCTGATAATAAAAATTGTCATCCAAGATCAGGTAGAGCGGCCTAGATGTG